TTTGACACTTAGGAACATCAACTGTCCCCCAAATTCCAAAATGTCAGATACTAATTCTGATTTTGTCTTGGGCTTCACAACTCTGTGAATATACTCTTTTAGCTCGTGCCACAAGTTCTCTATGGGGTTTAAGTCCGGAGACTCAGCTGGTGTCTTCCACCAAGTAACATTGTTGCTCCCAAGCCAATTTTTTGCTGTTTTTGACGCATGCTTAGGGTCATTATCTTGCATGAAACGAGGATTGTTGTCGATATTAGTTAGGTATGGTATAAGGCCAGCAGTGAGAACTTCTATGAAGCCAGCAGCATTCATTTTACCATCAAAAATTACAATAGGAGTTTTCCCTTTGCAATTGATTCCTGCCCAGACATGAACTTTTACTGGGTGCTTAGCTCTATTAGTAAATAATAATAACTATTAAAAGTTCCAAATTTATTATACTGCTACATACATACAGTGTACATACAATGTACTGTAAATACATGTATAACATACTGTACATTTACATAAATTACATAATACATACATTCATGTACATTTACATGTACATGTAAAAGACATACATGTAAATGTACATGAACAGGTACATGTACATTAAATGTAGCTAACCGTGGCTTTGGTCTTGCTGGAGTTCCTTGCTTTCGACAACAGAAACGACGATGACATTCCAGCATCACACTGCACTCATCAGTCCATAGGACATTCAGAAAGCCACCATCACTGCATGCTTCTTGTATGTGCTCTTGTGCCCAGCGAAGTCTGTTCCCCTTGTTGACCTCTCTAATCAGCTGGCAGTAAGCGCTGCCACGAAAGGTCCATCCTAGTTTCTCCCTTGATCTTAGAATGGTCATTAAAGTAAGAGGATGACCATTGTCAGCAAGGATTTTTTGAAGCTGACTTGCAGTTGTTTCATCGTCAAGCTGCATTTGATTCTCAACTATTCTTAGTACATCAGGAGTAATTTTAGTAGGACATCCAGATCCTGCATATTTAGATCACATAGAGTATATATGGGATCAAAATTCGTCAACAAACCTAGTTTACGAGCAATGTTCCCAGTTTCACGATACTTTCTTAATAGCCAACAAACTGCACTAACCTTAGCTTTCAACCCTTCATCCTTCATTATTTCAACAATGCCTGTAGACCTATAACCTAATGCTACAATACAATGTACATGTACATTGTATCTAGCCTTGTAGACTTACAATATAGATGCACTATTTTTTGTTGCTTGTAGACACTGTAAACCATGTTTATTACACTCTAGATCAGCTTAATTCTCCTATCACACAAGACTAAAGCCTCAACAATAATATGTTTACAGTTACTAAGAAGAAGAAGTCTCAAGTAGTGAAAGATACACGCCAAAAATAAGCACAGTAACTATAGTGATTGTACATCACATGAAAGAAAAGAAGCGAAGCACGAGCGAAGAGAAACGAAGCACAGGGTAACAGTAGCGAAGGATTATTATTACTGTACTGTAACTTTGCAATGCGTTGCTACTGCTACCACA